CATCTGCCCATTTCCTATCCCCCTGCATGGCCTCCTGCCTGGTGACCCTTGCCATCTGCCCATGGTCTGTCCCCCTGCATGCGCTCCTGCCTGGTGACCCTTGCCATCTGCCCTTGTTCTCTCTCCCAGCATGTGCCCCTGCCTGGAGGCCCCTGCTGTGTGCACACGTCCTGTCTTATTGCATGCATCCATGCCTGGTGGCCGCCTGGTGTCTGCCCACACCCAGGTGGCTGTGCCTGCCTCTCCTCTCTGTGTACACATGTGTTGGGATGTGCAAGAACACAGCTCTTGTTCCAGGCCTGTGGTTGTTTGTAGGTGTGTCTGTCCTTTTCTCGGAGCTGAGAGCTTTTCCACGGGAGAAACTGTACTTTGTCCCTCTCCTTGTCCTCAGTTCCTGAGAGTGTCTGAATTTAACAGAAACAGACAAATAAATTAATGAAGGAGTGGTTGCCTTGCCCATCTGCTGTAATCCCCCTTTTGAGGATCCTTCCTGAAATTTAGTCCCACTGGTATTCTCTCCATTCTCATCCCCCCTCTGCACCAAGGATCACAGCTGGCTCTGGCAGCTGGTCTGTCATGGCTGTGGTGTCCCTAGGATCTTGTGTCCTTGTCTTCCCAGAGTATCCTGAGGGCAGGGACCATGTGCTTCTCCAGGACTCAGCCAAGGCTGTGTCCACACAAGCTGCCCAGTGCCTGCCCTTCAGGTCCCTGAGCCTTGAATCTGTGAGTGCTTCTCACCTGGGCTGCTCCCGCTCAGAGGGAAGGTCCCTCCCTTCTGACAGCAGCATGGCAGTGGACTGCAGTGTTGGAAGCACACAGCTGGAGCTTGTTTTCAGTGGTTCTGATCTGGAAACAAGCGAAAGAGGGGAGGAGGAAGGAGAGGCATCAGGAATAGAGAGAACCAGAAACATGGGCATTTTCCCTCTAAGTTTCTTTGGCATTCAGACTGTGTCTGATTTTAGAGTTTTCCACATCTCTTACAAAGTTTGAACAGCCTCATACCCATACATATCTGTGATTTTCAAAGACTGCTCCTCTGAGCTCATTAGATCGATTCCGTCCATTTGTTACTTGCCCTGGGGTCTCCTGGGTGCACAAGCAGAGAAAGAGTGGTTTGCCTGGAGGGCCACACGGGCCCAGGGGGACTCGGAGCCCCTTACTGATCTGAAACCATCTATATTAAAATAATGCAGAGCCACAAGAAATGAACAGTAATCAAGGTCTGATTTTTATAAAAAGTACAGATACAGCCAGCAGTTAACCAGCCGCTGCTTCCTAACGTCCTTGATACTTTGGTTACTTGCTTAGTGGCACTATCCTCCCTGACAGGCAAGATTAGTGACTTCTCCCACGCCTCCTGTGGATGACGTCACTGCTGTGAAGCCTAAGACGTGGGATTCTGGAGATA